TGCTAGAGAAGAATGCTTTGCCGAGGCCGTAGGATTTTTTCGACATTTTTTCGGATTTTTTTCGGTGCTCGAATCGATCGTTGAAATTTCGGGAATTTAGAGAGATAGAAAGTTTAGAGAGATAGAGTCTGAAAAAGGGTTAAGGGCAAAAGAGTAAATGGGGGGAGGGGGGCGGTGACTAGTAAAAGGGGGGCGGGGAATAGCGATTGAGTAAATTAAACCTTTTCCTATTTTTCACCTTCACTTGCTTTTTAATTTTTTCATCTCTTTCTTCAACTCCTCGTTTTTTGGTGCCAAAGTTACTCAGAAAAAATGGACTCATAAACCAATCTATCATAATATAGCAGAAATCCAGGAGATAACATAAATAGTTGGTGAGTTTGTGAGCCCTCTTGTGATGGTTGTAGTTTGTGTTTTTCTATTCTAGCTCACGCATGTGTGAAGCTCCCAGTTTCCGGCAGGATGTTTGTTATGTATTTGCTACATTGTGTTTGTTTTGATTCATTTATGAGCATTCTATCTTTTGGGGCTAAAAAAAAATAAAAAAATAAAAACATAATTGTAAATTCAAAAGCCCGAAAAAAAGTAAAAAACTAAATTGTACACGGAAGGCAGATAAGGTCCAACAAACGAACAAAGAAAGTCAACCCCATAATCTCAAAACCAAAAAGAAATTACAAAATAACTAAATTTATTTACAAACCAAAAAAAAAAAAAAAGTCTTTGTCTAGCCAATAACCATCCCAAGCAACCTAGTACTTGGTCCACCTCGGACCACGCAAGGGACCAGGTGGCTGCTGGCCAGTCATAGGCGGCCGATAGCCATGAGCCACCGCAAATCCAGGTGGCCCTTTTGGCCGCCATTCCGGAATATCATCATCCTCATCATCATTCCAAGGCTCGATTCCGATATTAATATTATTAGTTACCCTATTCCTATTTATTTCGTTATTCGTATCACTTTGCCCGTATTTTTTAATCAGCTCCCTAACTTGGTCTACCGGGCGTTGTCGTCTCATTGTTGACCCAAAGTTCACATTATTCGGTGAGGCCTTGTGAATAGACGCATTTGCCCTCAACTCACCGGAAAAATTGAATTCCGGCAAATCATCGTCGTCTTTTGCCGCCAAGCGGGCTTGGGCACCAGGCCCAAACCCAGGTGGGATATCGTCATCCTCGTCTTTTTCAGGGTTATTATTATTATTAATAATATTAATTATGGGATGATGAGGCGCTCTAGAGGAAGTGTTAGAATTGACATTAGACAAATCTTGGGCCTTCTTAGGAGGTGCAAAGGGTTGCTGCTTCTTGGATGATACACTTGTGTTGCTGACGTGGGCCCGTCTCCATACAACTACGCCAATTAGTCCGTTTTCTACGGTTTTATCAGTCACTGGATTTTCTTTGAGATTAAGCTTCTTCAATGTGTCCAATATTCTTGGGGTCGGAGGGCATAGATAGAGCTCGACTCCAGGGGCAGGTTCGGCATATCCCAGCCTCTCGTCTGCAACATATGAGTCTACAGCCTGAATGAAGAAGGATTGTTAGAGAGAGAGAGAGAGAGAGAGGGGAATAAATAATAATTCAGTGAAGTTACCTCAGAAAGATTAGCACGCTGTGTTGTAGATGATGTGTCCTTCAATACAAACTGGAGCACCTGCAAAGAATAAAGTGATGCATGGTTAAAAATGTAAAAGTGCAAAACTCAAAGTAGTAAAGTAAGGCGTTTGACAAAGTAAAATGAGAGATATAGCCTACAGGTAACAACAGCTTTAAACATTTGTATTAGATGTTTAATGTGACACCAACCAACTTTTGGATGAAACATCTTTTTTGTTTGAGTTGTCCACGTGTTTTTATTGGGCACAGAACGTGGTTCACATTAAATTTGACTACAGCGTTGTTAATCTTTACTGCTCATTTTTCAAGCAATTTAAGTCACGTACAAATTGGAGAAACTCAAATTGTTCAAGTGTACACATTAAAAACTCGCAATTCCGTACAAAGTTGAGTGGATGCCAACAATTTGCACAACAAATCTCTCCATAAAAAATGCTATTTGTAACAATTGCAGAATGACCTGAAGGAACCTCATCATTATTCACTTCAACCAATACGCAATAATATATACAGAATTAAATTTTTCTAATGTTGTTTATATCCAATGTTGTTTATCAGCCCCTTAAATGCTTCATCTACTAAATCGATTAACTTCATTCTCCCTAAACCAGATCAACACTGTCAATTTGACAAAAGGACCCTCCACTTAGACCAGAACTATTCCCTCGCCCAAATTCTGCTAACATATGCAAACAAAATGAGTGTATTACAAATATCACACCTCTGATTTTGCCATAATAACAACCAGCCCCCAATTTTCAATAAAATAGGTATCTGCATTTTTTCTGTAATTCAGTAAAAAGCTAAAAGCTGCTTTATAATTAACTCAAACAACACTGCAGAAACCCTGTGGATCAGAGTTATCAAATGGCGTGGGGGATTTCTGCCAAACCACCATGGCAGGATTTTGACCTTCCGCCATTAACAAAAATTGCTGCGGATCACTGGTCACTGCTGAGACAAACACCTAGATTCCAGAAATCCGAATACCGAACAACATGAAGATCGCTGGTAGTGAATGCATGTGCTGTAGCAAAAACATTCATCCAGCAAAACTACCTTTTTGGTACGATTTCTATCATCACAGTTAATATACATCCTCACGAACACTAAACAAAGATAAAAGCCACTAATTATAGGCCACAGGACGCCACATGCCCTCTGCAGGCGAAAATCCAAAGGCCGGTGAATGTTAAGGAAAATTTAGGTTACAAGTAAAGGGAGGAAGCCTGTATATACCATGACTGCACGAGTTCGAGAATTCGGAAGTTCTTGAAGAAATTTTCCAAAAGCATCGAGTCTAACTCTGCCTTTGATCTCAAGAGAGGCAGGCCAATCCTTTGTGGATGTCTTCTCACCACTGTCAACAAAAAACTATAGGATTAGGTAAAAAAGCAACTAATTCAAGAACACAGGAAAACATATAGATTGCTGAAATGTACAAGAAAGCTAATTTCATTGTCAAGAAATTACAACTTTCCACACAGATTAGTCTATTTGCAGAAAGACCTCATTTTATGTCAGATTTACAAATAACCCTCCACATTTTGTTTTAGGTTACATACAACTTGAACCCTCAAAGTAATATATTTGTTAGGTACATGCAAAACCTTAAGGGACCGTTTGTTAGTTTGGTAGTATCCAAAAATTTTACTCCATCCAACTGTAACGAAATTCTATGAATTGCACTTCACGTGGAAGTATTAGATTTCAGCAAATTAAGCACATACATACTCTTAGTATATGTGAAAATTGAAAACCATAAAGTGAATGCAAACTTGTGCTATCAAATCGACAAACTCAGACCTTTGAAATAGACCACCGACAGTGACTGAAGACGATATGTTCAGCTGAAGTATACCATTCCATAGATATTCAACCTTTGGCACAACAATAGGACTACCTTTCTGTTCTGCAGGACTCCCACTAGATTTCACTGTCCCATCTTGTTCCTTAAAAACACTAGCTTTTTTTACCAACGAATCCCTAGGAAACTCTGAAGCCCGACCAAAAGCCCGAGAGTCTATCCGAAGTTTCGGGCTCTCTCCATGTGGCTTGGGGGTCTTCTGCGCCACATCACCTGATAGATTCTCAAAAGGGGGTTCATTGTTAAGGGACTCCATAAACTCGTCCAACGAAACAATTGGAGGCAAAAGTTCAGCATCCTTCAATTCATCCACCATCATTCCTTGCATTAGGTCAGTTCCATCAGTCGGGATAATCAAACTACCAGAAAAATCCTCATCATCGCCTTTATCTCTAATACTCTCCTTGGAAGGAGAACGAGGTTCGGCCTCTTTTTTTGGAGGGGGCTGTGTTTGTGTTAACATAGAAGTCCCACTCGAGACCTCCGCAGCAATGACATCATCGTGCTCGACTTCTACTTGATACTCGCCCTTGTGTGTTTTCTTCACCAGACGTCTTATGTCAACCTCGGTATCTGGCAGAACCACCATTTTGCCGAGCTCCTCTGCTTTGGCCATACGCCACTGTGACAACTCCTTCGAAGCAAGCTCCTCAGCCGACATTGAGCACAGTTTTTCGGGTGGTATCTCACCTGACATCACTCTTTCCCTCAGGTCCGGATTGTTACGATCTTTGAGGTTGAACAAGAGAGACCGGCCCTTCTCCCGATACTTTTTGTTCACGTCACCAAATAGCTTGAAGAGTTCGTCTTCAATTTCAAAGGCCAAGTTTTCTGGTGTCAGAATAGCTTTTTTCTCTTCTTGGCCCCGAGCTTCGACTTTAATGGGCTCAGGCTTCTCGGCGGGCTGGGCTTCCTTTGCCTCCCCACCAATCTGTGCATCAAAATCAAATGCCCAAGAAAGCCCGTTTCCTTGCAAGAGATCGTCTTTAGCGAAGAAATTATCACCGAACGTGATATCCTCATCAGGCAAAATGGAAGCATACTGAAACCCCTGGAAACCCTGTTCGTTATTCACACTACTTACGTTGGTCGGTAGTTCAGAGTGAAAAACCTGACTCTCATTGGTGTTCTTTAGCACATCTGATTCCTTTTGTCCTGGTTCTTTTGAAACCCCAGGACCAGAAACATGAATATTAATATGGCCTCCCATATCCAAACCGAGCTCTGAAACCTGAGCATTCGTGGGCTGATGAGTAATAGCGGCCTCACTCTTTTCATTCTGAGTCGTTGATACACTATCTTGTTTCTTGACTGCCAAGGCCAGTGCAGCAGCTAGAGACTCTCTCATTTTGGACCTCGTAGCTTCTGAAGACTCCGGGCGCGCCTTGGATCCTGGCTCGATTTGAGCAGATTGTTTTTTTGCAGATGAGCCCCTCTGCAAGCCAGATTTACCAGACATGGAGTCATTCCGAACCATTTTCTTGTTCGACGAATTCTGAGCCGGTATTTGCACAGTTTTCCTTTGAGGTGCTGATGTCTGCAAAAACCCAGCAGAGTTATTAGCCCCCATGTGTGCTGGCCTCTTGTTAGGCAACACTGGCTGCTGAGAAATAGAGCTGTTCAACTGGGGTCCCATTTCAGCCTTCCGTTTGACGGGCAGTGGTGTCTTCTCATTAGCAAGGTTATTTGTCATGCTCACATTTAAAGTACCTGACATGTCCGGATTACTGGGTACAGGCATTGACGCATAAAAATGATGAGTTTCGGGATTGCTAGAGACCTGACCCACCAATTTCATATGCATCTCTGATACTGGCAAATCCAGAGGATGAGAATAATGTTCCATCTGAGATCAGGTACAGGGATGAGGAATTAAATATATTGGACACATGCAGGTCTATGGAATAAATTGTGCTGATCACTAGGAGAACCCTGCAGGTGCAATTACAGTTGTTATGAAATGCTCCATCCCAAATATCAACTCATTCAAACAAAATTCAGAGTCATATTGTTAGAAGATATAAAAAGGGCAATGGCGATCACACAATTTGTATAAGATTTTGCAAGATATATACATAAAGTCATGAGCATTCAATTTAGGAACACAACTATTAAGTTGCAGTTAACAGTTTGCAAGACGGTTAAAGGGCATAAAAACAGGGATGCAAGCCTGAAATAATTCTATAAACAAACCGGTAGTATTAAATTACAACCATGTAAATGTTTATAATTAACTCATTTTTCAACAAAAGAACCTGACACCAGAGTTTGTAATTAATTACAATATACGGTTAACAAATAAAAATAAAATTAAATAAAGCAAAATTGTGAAGGAAAATGCAACCTATTGACTGCGTAAAAGAAGCAGCAGCACAAATGAAAAAATTTCAACTTGTTTAACCCACAAAAGATAAATGTCCTAACCCTCCTTCCCCATATTTGGAACAATTGGGTTTTTAGTTTTTTTTCTATTACACTAAATGTATGCCGTTATTAGAAAAATATATAATTATAATCCCCTGATAAAATTTTCAGGATCCACCCCTGCTGAAAAATTCAATACAAATTACAAGCCAACAATCTCAATAGCAGAAAAATGACTATACACCAATATATAAGAGATACAGCAATAGAAAAACAAGGTTGCTCCGGACAGCCAGTAAAACCAAATTTTAATTCATTAGTTGAGTAAAACCACAGCTCACAGTCTCCAATTAGTTTCTTATGTGCTTAAAATAAACATCAGCACCACCACGAGAATAAGAACACATCAACTCCAAAAACGAGAGACCGTAAGAGGATTCAAAATTCAAAACCCTCAAATCCAAATATTAATAAATGAAATTAACGGTGCCTGATATCTAATTAACGAACCGACAAATAGAATTCACAGTTAAGCAAAACCAATTGCGCACACACACACACACACACATAAAAAAATACATACACGGGAGACAGAAGAAAATAACTTTTACCTAACGGCGGCAGAAAACCAGTTGAAGGTGTAAGGAAAGCGGAGAACCAGAGAAAGAGATGTGATTTGCGGTGTGAGCAGATGAAAGACAAATAGAGATTATTGAGAAAACCCTAGAAGATATGTGGGTGCTTCGTGTGTTGTACTTTGGCCTAATTTACCATTTTATCATCCCGCTGGGCAAAGGAGCTGGTCAAGAGGGCACCCGTATTTCACAGTGACACGTGACCTTGTGAGCTGGTTTTGTGGACAAAGTAAATGACTGTTTTCCGTTGCTTTTATTTTGTGAAAAGAAAAAAGAAAAGAAAAAAAGTACATGGGAGAGATTTTTTTCTCTTTTATGCTCATCTATATAATTCTCGAATGTCAGTTTAAGTGACAGATTCTTACCTGCTTCAGGATTCTATTTGTCATAATTCTATGTTTTGGATTGATACATAATTAGACTTAGGTGTCATGTCAAATACCAACTAGACATGGTTATTTTCGTAATATATTAAATATTTCTTTCATTGAAACAATCATTATTATTTCATTCGATATTTTTCTTTCATAGTTACTATAATAATTTTCTTTTTATTTCATTTTTTTTCAATTACATACATTCATTAAATCAATCATATTAAGTTATTTCTCAATCTTCTCTCCAATATTCATATTTACTCATTTCAAAGATGAAATAGTACATTATTCTTTAAAAATGATATTTGTTTAATATTTAATTGGTATGTTATCAATATAACAAAAATAATAATTAATTATCAAAATTCTAAAATTACAAATAAAGTTCAAAAAATATAGTTTACAATCAAAATTCTAAAATTACATAACGGTATTTAACTTATATGATTAAAAAAATATAGTTTGACAATTTAATTAAAACACAAAGTGATGTTTTATATAAAATTAAATTATTTCAGTTTTAAAGAAAATTTTAAAATGAAAGCATGATGCGCATAGCTTAAGCATTATTATTATTATTATTATTATTTAAAGGCTTGGTGGACAAAATAATTTTTATGGTTTTGGGTGTCTTATTTAAAGACCCCTCTTATTTATTATTTTTTTCTCAAATCGATAGGTAATCTCATAGCAAATAAAACATAGATCAAATACAAGCAGGTACATGTCCTGAAGCCGAAGGTAAAGGAAAACTAGGGAGCACTACATACACAAGTAGGCTAAGAAAATACAGCATAACACCCACTAAAGGCAGATGTAATCTGCATCCTTTAGTGAAAAAACAGAGCATAAACTAGAAGCTGGGATACAAACAAGAAATACCAAACCACTGAACTACAAAGTAGACCTAATTAGGAGCACATTGCTTGTTGGACTTCAGAGGAACTTGGTCCTAGCTTCATGCCATTCTCTCACAGCACCTTTGATGATGATGTGTTCTGGCCTCCAGTTCTTTTCTAAAACCCAAAGGTTTCGAGATTTCCAGAGCCACCACAGGATGTAGGTGGTGAGCTCTATTCTGTCTTCAGCAACTCTGGATTTATCCATACAATAGATTGTCCCCCACCAGTCTTGGAAAGGCCAAGTATCCCCATTGATACCATCCCAGTTAATAGGTGCTCTTTTCCAAGCCTTCCTTGCTCTGGGACATGTAAGGAGTGCATGCTCAACTGATTCAACAGCTTCTCCACAGCATGGGCAGGTTGGATCAATTTCAACTCCTCTTCTTTTCAGGTTCAGGTTCACAGGCAGAGAATTGGTATGACACTTCCATAGAAAGTGTTTAATCTTGCCTTTGCTTTTGATGTTCCAGCTTCTATGCCTTATCTGTTGATTCCTTCTTGCTGTGCTGCTTCCTTCTGGAATGTCTAGAGTGTGCAATTTTTGCTGTGACAGAAAATAATAGGAGGATGAGACTGAAAACCTTCCTTGTGTACCAAGATGCCATCTCCATTTGTCCTTTTCAAGAGGGTCAAGTGAGTTGATTTTAAGGATTTCAGCACTGTCTTGGTCTTCAAACACTTCTTTGACTCTTTGTTCATTCCAAGTGTTATCAGCATTAAACAGGTCCTTCACCTAGAGAGTTCTATAGCCGACTTCATTTTTGAATTTTAGAGTTCTGTCTCTGATTCCTGGAACCCAACAAAAGTCTTGCAGTTGCACAAATTCACCATTTTTTATTTCAACTGATAGGCCTTCTTTTAATAACCACCTGACTTTTAGCCAAGATCTCCATAGCCATGAGGAATTCTGAGTCAGTTTTGCTTCAAATATAGATGAATTGGGGAAGTACCTGCTTTTGAGAATTCTGCTCATCAGGAGGTGAGGTTGAGTAATCACTCTCCAGAGCTGCTTAACCAGCATGGCATCATTGAAGAGGGATATGTCTTTAAATCCAAGTCCTCCCTGCTTCTTGGTGAGTGTTAAGAGGTCCCATCTCTTCCAGTGAATTCCACTCTGCTGCTCATGGTTCCTACTCCACCAGAATCTGGCAAAAATACTTGTCACCTCTTTGCAAATGGCTACTGGCAGCCTGAAGCAGGACATGACAAAGAGAGGGAGTGCATTTAGGACAGATTTGACTAGCACCTCTTTCCCAGCAGTTGATAAATATTTGTTTTTCCAGCTCAACACTCTGTTCCTTACTGCTTCTGTTACAAAACCAAAGACCTCCTTTTTAGAGTGGCCAATCCCAAAGGGCAGTCCCAAGTATCTTGAGGATTTTTGAACTTGAATTCCTGGAAAGACCTGGCAGACTTGATTTTGTACTAGTATGATGGAGTTCTTGCTGAAAAAAATGGAAGACTTTGAAGTATTAACCTTCTGGCCAGAAAACTTTTGATAACAGTCAAGAATTGATTTAATGGCCCTAGCCTGGTACTCATCTGCTTTGCAGAAGAGGATTGAGTCATCCGCAAACAGAAGGTGAGTGAGAATAGGAGCTCCTCTTGCCAATGACAGTCCCCTGAAGATTCCTCTTTCAACTGCAGCTGTGATCATAGCAGACAAGACTTGTGATACAATAATGAATAGGTAGGGGGACAGAGGGTCCCCCTTCCTTATTCCTCTTTGTGCATTGATGTAGCCCTTTGTGCTACCATTGAGGATAAAGGAGAAGGAGACAGTAGACACACACTCCATGATCCAGTTAACAAACTGATGTGCAAATCCCATCTTAAGCATTGTCAATCTTATGCATTTCCACTCTATCCTATCAAAGGCCTTCATCATGTCAAGTTTGATTGCCATATAAGAGTGTTTTCCCGAGTGGTGTTTGTTAATGAAATGAATCCCCTCATTGGCAATGATTACATTGTCAGTAAGTTGTCTACCAGGTAAGAAAGCAGATTGGGCCTCATGGATACAGTTATGGAGACAGTTTCTGAGCCTACCAGCTAGAATTTTAGAAATTAATTTGTAGATTACTGCACATAAACTGATAGGCCTGTACTGAGATAGATAATCAGGGTTTGAACATTTAGGCACTAAAGCAATAAGAGTGTGGTTCCAGTAGTTTAAGAGTCTGCCAGAGAGAAAGAAGCTGACAACTGCTTCACAAACATCTCGTTTAACTAAGGGCCAAAAGTGTTGGAAAAAAAGGGCAGGCATACCATCAGATCTAAGAGATTTGGAGGGGTTCATGGAAAAAAGAGCATGCTTTATCTCATCCTCCTCAACTGGTGACAGAAGTTCTGAGTTAGTTGATTCTGAGATAGAGTGTCTCACATCTTGAAGAAGCCTTTCTCCTCCAGTTGATCCTTCTGAAGTAAACAAGGAAATGTAGAAATCCTCAACATGGTTCTGAATAGAATCTGCTGTGTCACATACATTCTGATGCTCAGTAATGAGTCTACTTATGGCATTAAGTCTCCTTCTTTGCATGACCCAGGCATGGAAGAAATGAGTGTTTTGATCTCCTTCTTTTAGCCATTGTGCTCTAGCTTTTTGCTGCCAGTAGAGTTCCTCAGATTGGTTTGCTTCATCCATCTCTTTTTGTAGTTTATCCCATTCCTCCCAATCTCTGTTGCCCCCTTCCTCTCACATTTCTTCAAGCTTAAGAGATAACCCTTTCATCTTGGCTATTTGGTTTCCCCTGAAGTGCTTGCTCCATCTGATTAGTGTTGCTCTTGTGCTTTTTATCTTCTCTTTTAGGATATATAGTGGTGTTCCTTCTTGCTGGACATTCCAAGCTGCTTGAACCACCTCATCAAGCCCTTCTCTTTTTGTCCACCTTTTATCAAAGTGGAACCTTCTTCTTGGTGAGATGGAATTTGGATCATCTTCTAACAAGAGGAGACGGTGATCTGATGAACTTTTGAAGAAAGAGGTTGCTTGTGTTTGTGGATAGGACCTGAGCCAGTGAAGTGATGCATAAGCTTTGTCTAGAGCTTCTTCCACAAAGCCTTCCTGGTCCCTGTTGTTTCCCCAGGTGTAAGGATATCCCTTTCTTTGCACTTCCCCCATTCCCATGTTGGCAATGAATGTTTGGAATCCCAGAATGCTTGCTGGAGTTCTTTTTCGGCCTTCCTTTTTGTCCTCCACATTTGCCAAGTCATTCCAGTCACCTATGATACACCATTGATCTCCCCACAGTCTTTTTTTATTTTCCAGTTCCTTCCATTGACATTCTCGTTGTCTTCTATCTGTGCTTAGGTAGACAAAGATTATCCACCTGAATTGGTAATGTTGTTGGACTCTGAATTCAACCTCAATACAGAAGCTGTCACAAAAAGATTGACGAATCTCCACATCTCTACTCCAAGCAAGGAGGAGACCTCCACTTAGTCCCCTTGGATCAACAGTCATGTGTCTCCCAGAGAACCCTAACTTTTTACAAACAGTTAATGTAAAAGGATTAGAATTTTTAGTTTCTGATAAAAATAAAAAATGTGGGTGATGGGATTTTAGAGAATCCCTCAACTGGGAAACTGTCGAGGCCCCACCCAGGCCTCTACAGTTCCACACCACAGCCTTCATGGTTCACAGTGGGGCCACTTGAGGCTGGCCTTCTCCACCTGAGTTGATGATGACTTCAGTTTTTTGTGTTCAGTTTCCTCCTGGAGAGTGTCTTCTTGCACAGCAGACATAATTTTGAGAGGTGGTCTGCCCCTCTTTGTGCCTGTCCCCTTAGGAGTTTGGTCTGCTTTGTGGTTCCTCTGGAGTCTGCCTTCTTTGTCTCCAATTCTTTTCCAAGTTTTCTGCTTAGTCATTTGGGTATCCATGGGAGATGGCAAGAGTAGTGAGGGGTCAGTGATGAGGCCTGTTGGTTTAGAGCCATCTAGTTGAGGTGTCATGGATGATGGACTGGGTGTGGCTGCTTCATATTGGACTATCTCGTTCTCTGGGCCTCTTTCCATATCATGAAATTCAAGAATTCCTTTGGAGCTGGGAATGTCCTGTCTTGAGGAGCTGGACTCTACCATGCTAGCCTTATCTGGTGTTTGAAGATGAGCTTGTCCCAGGTATTCTGCTTTGTCTATAAGGAGTCTCAAATTTTCAGGTTCCTTCTCCGCTTGTGGTTCTTGCTCTTGATTAAAGTCTGTGGATGGTTCTGGGTTCATCTCTGCAGATTTGCTCTGTTGTCCTGGGCTGCCATATATTCTGATTTCACCTGCTTTTAGCCAATCCCCATACTGACCTTTTTTTTTGTCTCATGTGCCAATGTCAAGTATCTTCTTTTGGCATTCTCTGTCCAAGTGACCAATTTCTCCACAATAATAGCAGAGGTTGACTAATCTTTCATATTTGAAACCAATAGTGGTAGTTTGATTCCCTAGTCTTATGGAAGTGCATCTAGGGACGGCTGTAGAGATGTCGATAGAAACCAAGAGTCTCAGGATTCTGCCCCCTGCTCCCATAGCATTAGTTATATTGACATTCTTAATTCCCTTGAAAACCTTTCCATTTGAGTCCCACCTCCAGAGTTAGCCAGTCTAAGGGAACATTATAGACTTGTACCCAGAGGTCAAGTTCCTCAAAACAAGTGTCTGTGGCTTTAATACCCTTCCTCCAATCTTTCAGGATCAAATACTGGTTTTCGAAAATCCAATTTGTGCCTAGTCTGACTTTTTGAAGATCCCCTCTATTTTCAAAAATAAATTGAAAGAAGTTGGGGTTGATTTCTCTAACCTCCAGTCCATACTGTATTCTCCAGATGGCAGTCATTGCTCTTCGAAGACCATAGAGTGAGGCTCTGCGTTGGCCAATAATCTTACCCACTAAACTCCTACTGCACTCCTCAGCACTCGCTTTTACATCATCATTTGCAATGTCGATTACCAGATTCTCCGATCCTGATAGAGAGAAGTTTTTTAGTCGATTAGCCATTTCCTCTTCAAAGCCTTGGTCCTGTTCATTTCCAGCCATTCTGCCCCAAATTAAGTCGAGCCCTAAATTCGCAATGCCTTCAGAGCTTTCAATTGGGAAAGAAGAACAAAACCAGTAAAAGAGTTATGGTTGTTCCTCAAAATGAGGTATGCAGACCTTCATCAAAGGAATGAATCTCCCTCAGTCTAAGGAATCGCGCTCCCAATCGAGAGAATGTTAAGGAGACTTATTTATTATTCAACGGTTGATTTTTGAATGAAATAAGATTTGATTGGTTTTATTGTGTTTGAGATTGAAATCTCATTCTGATCCTTCCCACTTGTACGCTTTTCTACATCAGTTGGTATCAGAAGTCAGCACGATTCTCGTTGATGCCGCGAAGAGACGACATCGACAGATGTGACACTGCCATTGAGCTGGACTTTTGGTCCAAGGTTCACTACGTCCAATGCTCCAATACTGAGAAATAAAGGTACATAAACCATTCTTACATCCTCAAAATCATTGATTTGTTCGACCCTGAAGATTCTAGTTCAGATTCTAGGGAGAGGGACTGCCTGAAAGCAATACTTCATATGATATATGGGAAATTCATGGTTGAATAGTATTATCGTTACATATGATATATTCAATGGAGATTTACCCTTTTATGGTTGAGTTGACCACATTTTACAAAATTTTACTAATATTTTAAATTATTCATTAAGTTAGTATGACCAAACATAGTTATTCTATTTATTATATATTATATTTCAAGTACTTTTGATCTGTGAATATACTTAATTAGATTAATATCTACAATCCTAGAAGATAATATATTTATTCGTAAATTTTCATAATATTTTTTTAATTGTGTCAATAAACTACTATAAAATTAATATTAAGGTCTTATTGAAAATATATATAATCGATCCATGGTCAAAATAATTATGTTTAAATAAATTTATTCTTAATAAATATTAGCCATTGAGTATACAAAAAATAATTAATTGTTTCATATATAAGATTTTCTGATAAAAATAAAGATTAATTAAATATCAAATATCCGCCTAAAACCATGCTAATTATGGCAATATAAACGCACTTTTTTACTACTTTAATTTAATTATTCTTGTAATTAGTTACATTCAAGATTGTATAGTAATGTTCAATGCATTCTATGTGATTTATGATAAAATACTCTCTTTTATTAAACTAATAAAAAACAAGTATAATAAGTAAAATTCTAATAAAAATTAGAAGTTAAAATAATTAAAAAATATTAATTATGAACCTCTTAGGTCCTTAACTCATAAATGAGTTGGACAATGCAAACAAAATTGGCTAGAGACCAAAAACTTTTGACAACCATTCATCAAGTGCAGTTAAGTTGTGCATTTCCACCTATATTATTTGTTTTCCAACAATACATCTACTTCAACAATAATACTCAACAACAAGAAATTTCAGCTGTTCATCAAAACTGATAAAGCTTCAGTTTCCTCATAGAGTTAAAAAGACATGGGTACAACAAACATCATTCACAGTGAAGTAGAGAGATTATTTCCATTGACAGAATAGCAAGTCAGAAACTGGATTAGCATAGTTTGTACAAAGACAAAAGATATAAATAGATCCTAGAGACCTTGCCAGCCAGTAGCTAGCTAGCTAGCTCCTCCCAAAACGACACGAAAAATATTAACTTCACAAAATGCCCAAGGAAAGAAAGGAATCCTCTGTTTTTTAGTAGAATAATAATTTATTTCAGAGGTTCCAGCTCTTTTTACAAATTTGCCGATACAAAATGCAGCCTGGGAACACCAGAACTGATTTACAGACAACCGTACGAATAAATAAATTATGGTTGAGGGGTTGCAAGATTATGAATAAAGAATGAGGACAGGCCTTCCTCCTACTATGCTCCAATTTATCTAACTGGGTTTTGTCCTTGAGTGGTTGAGATAAGTCAAGTTCATTAGAGTAGCTTTTACTGAACATCCAATCATTTGCAAGAGACTTGTTACTTATTCTCTGAAAACCGATTCAATTGATTGTGATGAACGCATAGTTGAAACGCACCTGAACTGTAATCAACACAAAAATAAATGAATAAAATAAATAACAAGTTCCATAATTTTTAAGGTGTTTTAGTTGCCAGTTAGGAAAAAAGTGGTTAAATGATATAGAATGAAAGAAAATCTAAAGGTTTTGGAAAATTTTGGACCTTTTTAAAATTCATTGCTTTTTTGTGGCAAATGCACTTTAGAGTCTCACCCTGGAGTGTTTGTATTTCAGGCGTACGGCACCCGACATGTTACCGCTTGGGTTAAGCTGTAAGTTTTGCAGTTCCAAAACAACCGTTTTTAGCTCTGACATTTTATGCCTCGTGTAGTACTCCAGTGTTCGATTCTGCTCAAGGAGTGCTTATCATCATTATACAATATACATTCGGAACAGAAAAGGAAAATAGCATCAAATGGCATAAAAGAAATCTAACCCATGGATTCTCAGACTGATCAAGAGTCCATTTGGCTAGAAGCACAGCAGAGGCAGCAATCATGGATGGTAGGTATTTCAGGAAACTGTAGTCCGTTACAGTTAGTTCTGCTAAATAGTTAGCCAAGAATTCAAGCTCAACAGACGGGACCTGGAAAATGGAGAAATTGTTCATGTCCAGTTCTTTTTTTTTTCATTTTTTTTTTCTTGTTGGTTCTTTTGAAAAGATGAAAGTCTTAGCTGAAGGTGTAAAAAAATAAAAATAAAAATTTTATACACAGGATGTAATAAAATTTTATATACAGGATGTAATAGGGATGAAAAACTGAGGATGTTATCGTATAATTTTGGAAATAGATTCAATTTTTGTGTGACTAAGGTGAATCTCAAAAGGATAGGAGCAAATCTTGACACCATTTAGTCTACTTGTACCTTGTAAGAAACTTGTGCTGCTTGAATAAACCTCCTGTAAACACAGAAATAAAAGATGGTTAAGAGAACTGATCTTAGGGATGCAGCATTTAAGAGAAAAATAAAGATCACAATGTCCAGATACACTAGATACCTAAGAAACTTCTTTGTGGTGGGAACAGATAGTTGAAATCCCAAAAAGTTCAGAACACAACTTTCCATTTTCACCACCTGCCCAATTTTGCATAAAGAATTGATTTATGCAGAAAATCCACATTAACACAGACGGATATAAAACAGAAGTGGTCACTGAAATAGACAGGTACATACCTCTTCTTTCGTGTAGGTATTGTCTGTTATAAAGCAAAATTCCTCCACACGAGGCGCACAAATTTCTTCGTACTTCCTATAGACAATATATCAGTAGAATACAAGTAAGAGCAAAGCAAGACGGTCAAAGGCTAACAATACTTATCTGCTTGACAAAATGGCACTCATATCTACCACCTTAGAGATCCCAGTATCATTAATTAATTAAATATTTGCAAGAAAAGTAGGATAATTATTAGGTACTACTGTAGTATGCAGATGATTCCAGAGACAACTTGAGAAAGTGACATAAAATATTTTACGACAGCGAAACGACATGTAAAGCTAGGATATATTATGTTGTTATATCCATTCGCTTTTCACTAATAACTTACGAGGCAATGAGCATGCAGGTCACACCAAGAAGTTGAAGCTTCTGCTTTGTCATGTAATTCTCAGATAGAAATCTATCAATGAGATTTACAGTCAGGTATAGCGTATCAGGCATCAGCCCATATTCTTCAGAAACCTGAAAAGAGGCAAGGCACATGAGACCACACAAAAGGTAAGGGATAATAACTATAGTGAAGATTGAGGACGGAATCTCTGAGAGCAAGAGCAAAGGATGTTTCATTCTTTCAATGCAAGACCTTCTTAAAAGACAAAACTGCTACTTCATATTGAAAACGACATCTGAACAAATATTAGATTAAAGAGAATGCAAAAACTGTATCGAGTAATGATAATGTGGCTCAAACAAGAGACAATGGTGACAAAGTATGATATTAGACTATATGAAATTTGAGTTGACAAACCTCAACAAGCCAATCAATCAGTATAGCCCTCATACCCTCAGTAATATCTCGTTGCAGTTTTTTCATATAATCAGCCAAAGGCCTCCGGTCAATCTGAGGGAAGAACAAGACTTCATATGAGAATGAAACAAAACCATTTATTGGAATGGAGAAAAAATTAAAGTTTATCTACGGAATATATATATATATATATATATATATATATATATATCAGATTTTGTGACCATTTCCCAGTGAATTATGATTGAAGTAGTGTAGATTACTGTATGCTGACTAGCCAAGTAATAGAGAACTCATTATGCATTAAGACAAAAATTAGCATGCACCCACAATTAAACGACTACAAAAACGTCTTATAGAGGCATATGGAGTAATTTGTGAAGATGGCAGCCTAACAAACCTGTCTTATATACATAGCAGAATATATATCAGCTGCATAGTGGCTACACATCTGTGGATCCTTGTGTTTTGAATCTATGTCAGTAATTCCACTGTCTTCCAAGCTCTCTTTTTCCATGCAAAGCTTGACATCTTCTGTATGATAAACAAAATTGTCAAACAAGGAGGCAGACGATAAATAAAGACAATGTCTAATCATATATATCCCTCAAGTCATTTGAAAATGGAATTAATCCTTCGTAGACTCAGGTGCATAAACTACCAGCTTTTCACCACATGGCAATTACGTGATTGTCACATTTGTCAAGACAAATTGACCAAAAAATAATAAAAGAATGTGGCGCTGATGATCAATCAATAACTTTTCCTTTTCGTCGGTATATGCAAATGAATGAAACCACATCAAGCAAATTAAAATGCCTTCATGCAAAAATTAATACAGAAATTTGCTTCCTGAATTGACCGAGAGAAAAGAACCTGTGGAGTGTGAAGCTTCTTTTCTGCCATTTGTAGTCTAAACATAGAACTATTTCTTTATCATAAGGTCTCAAACTGACTTTAAATTCGTTTCTAATAAAATCCACAACTCTGCTGGAAAATAAAGACGTGTATGCATTTACATTGTAACGAGGAAATTCGCAAGAATGTAGCCTTTTGCCTTTGTGTTCACAAAAATACCACTTGTGTATTTCAACCAAAAACCACAAAGAAAAAAAAAAGGTGGCATTTTTGCGAATTACTCCATTGTGATGTAGCAAACATTAAAACGTAAAATGACGCTACCAGAAATAAGCATATTAGAACTGAATTTTATGATGCAACTGATTCACAAAGTTGATATGTGATTTACTCCAGGTGGAAAAGCTTCATACAAAATCTAACCTCTACTCATTGAACTTGTCAGTGGGACGCTTTTACTGGAATTTGTCATGGTAGAAATCACGTTTGCATTAACAATTTTGGTTGGTTCAGTTGTCAAATTCCTTGTGGAATTCTCTTGAGATTTTTCTACATCTACTTTCACTTCATCATTTATATTTTCTCTTCTATCTCCTGGAGCCTCTGATTTTTTAGGAAAACAAGGAATCCCCACCTCTCCCTTCTTATATGACGGATTTCTGTTCTTCCTGCTAGGCTGAAACTGACAATATCTATATTCAGTAACATCATTTAGAAAGAAGAAGAATCTAGATATACTCTTTGAAGATCTAAAGCTCAAGGATGAAGAAAAATCTTAGAACCTAAAGATATTGAACAAAATCATGATGGCAACCTTACCTGACTTCTGGCTGCATTTATGCAGTTTACGTACAAATCATCACAGGCAATATTAGTTACATCTTTAAGAACAGCCCTTTTCTTATGCGGGGCACCAGCAGCTGCACTTGATGGTTTCTTGTTATCTGACACTGCTCTCTTTAAGTGTGCCCGCAGCACAGGCTTGTCTTCTTGTTTGAGTGAAGGGTGTAAAGGTGGCAATCCACTTGATGAGCCTAAGGCTTTTGCCTGTGCTCGTGTAATTCGCACACTGGGCTGCCTAATGTTGGAAACCCTATTCTCGTCACTCATGACTGCATTCTTCATGGGACAGTAGTTTCTTGAAAAAATTAATGCACTTTCACGATCACTGCAGGTATACCACAAACAAAAGTTAAAACACGCAGCCTATTATATACAAAACCATGGTGCGTATTTACTCCAAACAATTTGGTTAATGAAACTTCAATAGCGGTTGAAGATATGCAAAATGTCAGTTTTGTGGCATTGCTACTCACTCCACATTATACTTGAAACTCGACTAACCGGCATGTGTCCTAGATGACTGTTAAATTGAAAAATTGTAAGCACGTGAACAGCAATCCATGCAATATCGAATAGACAGTAGGCCTCAAGATTTCAAGATTGTCATGCTTTAAATGTTACTTACTATATTTTTTACTGCCCATTGCAATCATACTTCTGTCCTGAACTGAACCACTTATTCATGCTTAACCATATCATTAGAACAACATACTTTTCAATCTTTTTCTGTATCAACTTAGTCCCAGTGACATACTTTGTTTACTTTGTATTTCAACTACTTTAAGTACTTGCCAACTGACAAAATTATAATGCCACATTGTGATTGTGATTTCACTGAACCTAAGCTAACATTAGGACCAATGAAGTAGAGAAAAGATGACATATTCGCCATCCATTGATAGAATCATTGGCTCAAAATATATATTCGTCTTTCTAGCATTTTCACAGAATTGTGAAGACGCACAATCCAAATATTTCATGAACTGCAAAGTACACGACATATACCTTATGGTCCATGAATTGCAGCTCGATAATGCAGTAACCTGAAATGCTCTGGCAACAAGAAACTTCTCACCTCCTGTCTCATCAAATTAATTAAAATAAATCATTCTGAAAAAAAACCGAGAAACACTAAGACTTGAACAAGTCTATCAATTTTCATCCAAATGGTGTCATTTCAAATACTCGAATCAAATAGTGAATAAGAAACAATCCCTGACACTAGAAATAGACGAGTCTGACAGAATTTCATTACTTCCAAATGTGCTTAAACCCCGTCAGACCACGAAAATTTAGTTTCAAGCATCTAGGAAGATAGCTTCTTGTTTCTCTATCACATCGCCATTTTTAACAATGTATCGACGAAAATTCTCAAAATGGTCGAAAAAAGAAATAAAATGATATGTACAAATAAAATGAGCTTCTCAAATCATCCATTACAACAGGAAACAAATTATAGTAGGAACTCATCCTCAGATCTATGCAAAACAACCGAACTTCACACTTACAGCTCCAAAATTGCTAGTAAAATTTACAATAAATAATTAAACAATACATTATCCTCTACAAATTTATATACGGTAAGACGAACGCACAAACTTGCCTCATATACACACACACAAAAAAAAGAAAAAAAAAAAATGAAAAAACATTTGACAAGTTGAAAAAAAAAATGGCGAAAACAGCTTGATAGGTGAGCTCACGCTTTAGTTGCAGAGCTTTCAGATCAGCGTTAGGCCCTTGATTCAAGCGGATCGATCATCGATAGATATTTACATACAGAGGCGGTGTATGTATAGGTTGAGTGTGTGTTTTGAGTGAGAGTGTGAGTGTGAGGCAGCGTGAAAAGGAGAAGTGTGTGCAACTGTGTGTAGTATATATATATACACATACTACACATGGAGAGAGGAGCGTGAGAGCGGGCTGAAAGTGAAACCACAAATTCAAACTTGTAAATTCTAAAAGGAAAAAGAAGAATGAAGAAAAAATGAAATTCCGCTATCTCCACTCCTCAATTTTCTATTTGCCTTTTTATACTTTTAGCTTTCTGTATTTACTTCAATTGAGATTTGAGAGCCAGCGTGGACTGAATTTACTCGGTCAAAATATAAAGCTCCTGAATTTCCTTAACAAGTAAAACAGAATTAGAAAATGGTTACAATTTTAAAATTGTGGAAAAACGGAAATTAATTAATTGATCCTCACTCTGAATTGGATTATCTGCTTAAAGGATTTGACTTGTTGAAATTCAAATTTTTAAAATTTATTAAAAAAAATTAGATTAATTTAATATATTTCATTTTAAATACAGTTTTGTTATGTTATCAAGTGTTCATTTACCAGGATCCATACCATTAGAACAAATTTGTGGTGTGGAATGTGGATGGGTCCTTGTTTTGGGAGGTAATTTGGCTTGAAAATTGCATGAGATTGTTCTTGATTTTGAATTTTGTTCAAATTTAGTATGTTTCATATTTTCCTTTGACTAGTTTTTGGGTCTTCTTGCTTTTTCCTACTAACCATTTTTACTAGTTTCGCCTTCTCATATTCTTTATTTTCCTTTAAGTCATCTATTATTATATAAAAAGAATAATTTTTTTACAAATTTATAAACTTTTTTCCGCCAAAATCATTAAATATATCCTATATATAGTAATTGTTGGACAAATATGAATAGGCAAAAAATTGGGCTCATTAATTGTGTAAAGATTTATTTCTCTTTTTCCTGTTTTTTAGTTTATCAAAACTATTGTTTGACAATAAATATTTGTTTTTCTTTTTCCTATTTTTAGTATAAATCTACACGAGTTTATCTCTTCTGTTAGAAAATCCCATTGCATACGTCTCACGTGTTTAAAAAATCCCATCCCTTATCTATACAGATTTGAAAAAATAAAATAAAAATCAATTCATAATTACTACTAGAAATCCACAATCTTTAAGAAGAAAAAATAAAATAAAATAGAAATCAATTCATACTTACTACTATAAATCCATTATCTACTTTAAGAAGCTAATTTTCATCGGTCTAATTACTAATATTTTTACAAATATTATAAGCTAACCATACGAAAAAGTATAATAATAATTTTGAAATGGTGTGTAATCGAATTTTTTTATTCTCTTATACAAAATAATTTTACATTGTTTGACCCCGAATCTTTAATTTATAATTATTAAGTATTGTTTACCCTCCTCTTTAATTTTTAATTTTTTTTTCTTCCTCTTTTTAAATAGAATCAATAGTAGTTTCCACTTCCGTCATTGAGTGACTCAAACTCGAGGTCTATTTATAATATTGTTAATTTAATATTGTTCCCGTGCATCGCACGGGGTGTACATTAGTATCTATAACTATATATATAATAAGAATAACCATTTAGTAAAAAATAGAGTAGTCAAAAATTTTTGGGAGCATTTAATGCGTGCCTGTTTTTAGGAAATTTTTTAAATATATGCATTAATTGCTTCTGTATACATGTTTTGAGATAAGATCAAATCAAATATGATTAAAAATATTTTTTCATTAAATAATTTTATTGATATTTACAGTAATTTCATTGATATCCATTATAATAATTACAAGATTGATTTTTCATCATTCAATAATTTTTGGTCAACATAAATATTACAACATATTTTAAGTTCTAACAATAATATTAATTTTTTTCACAAATATTAATTTTTTATCTAAAAATATTTATAGAAAATCGTAACAGGTTAGGTAGAATTTTTTCTTCCAATTAATCAGGCGAAATCAAGTTGGTGAATTAATCTTTGCCAATATAATTTTTTCTTGAGCTTTATTTCGTTATATATAAAAAAATAAAAATTTACCATTTAAGAGATAATGACCAAATATATTAATTAGTTTTACTAATGGTCAAAAATTAAAATTAAAATATATATATTAACTGTTCTTTAGAATTTATTTGTATATTATTGGCAAATATGATTATTTTTTTATCATTTTTTTATTTGATTTCTTTCTATAATGAAATTCTTCTAAAATATATTTTCATTGCAGAGTATGCTAAATAAACTATACAACTTATGATGCAAATTAGAAAATTTTTGATTATAGAAGGGATTGAGTTTTTGCATTTGCTAAATCAAAGTTGTTTAATTAGTATACAAAATTAAATTCCGAAAAAAAATGTGTGTATATTTTGTAAAATATTTATACACTATCTAATTTTAAATTTATTTACATAATTTAAATTGATTACATAAATAAATAATATTAACGTGTATTAAATATTTTTCATTACATAAAATAAAAAGAAAAAGAAGACGTACAACTTATATTACTTTTATAAATAATAATGATGATATTATATGACAATAAAGTTTAAGAAAAAATAATACTTAAGTATTATATGGTGAACAAGAATAAGAAAAAAACTGTTATTTTTTATTATATCAAGGAATAAATATATACACTAAAATCAAATTTATATTAGTATAAATGTGTTAGTGAGATAATATATTAATTGTTTTACAAGCTAGCCCTAACATGCTCGTATTTAATATTCTGGCTACAAAAAAAAAAATGTTGGTTACAAAGTGGAAAATAGATTATAACCATATTGTTTTTTAGATTTAACGCTGATTAAAAAATGTGGAAAATATATGATAACTCTATTGCTTTTTAGACTAAACGGACCGAGCCTGTAAAAGTAACTCATTTAATATCTCTGTTTCGTGCATAGCACGGAGTACGTACTAGTTGAATTGGATTGGTTGAACAATTAAATAAATGTGCTAGAAATTAGCAATCCATCTATTACACAAAAAATAATACAAACTTTTTATATAAAACTAATAACTAAAATCAAAAGTTTTTAATAATATATATCACATTTATAATTAAATTGTTACATTATCTAAGTAAGTTATTTAGTAATTATTACATCTCATCTTAATTCTTAGATTTTAATAATAATAAAAAAAAAAAAAGATAATATACGTATGAATTTTACATACATTAATGACAATTGTTGATTGAATATAGTGAATGATATATTTTTTCATATACTTGCATTATATTAATAATAGTCATTACAGTATTACAAAAGGTTTATATGTTGTTTTTGTTCTGTGTTTCGTCGTATTTGTGTCTGTGTTGTTCTTGTCTTTTAGGTTTGGGCCATTTGGCCTCTGTGCGTCCGAGTGTCACCTTTATTACCCTGTTGGGGTCCGACACTCGGTATTACCCTGTTGGGGTCTTTGTATTGTTTGTTGTGTTTTGTAATGTTGTTATTAATCCTTTAGGGTCGTGGTCGAGTAGTTGGACTGTTTAGTGCGAGTTTTTATTCTAGCGTTGCTAGCGGGTCTCTAGGCGGGCTTCTGACCTGTCCTCCCACTTTTTCAGCTGTTGGCTGCTGTGTATTCAGCCGTTGGCTACTGTGTATTCGCACATTTTTGCATTTTGATTTATAAAATTATCTATCGTTTCGGGAAAAAAATAATTTTTTTAATAGAATTGACGTGTAAATTATATTAATAATTAATAATATAATAAAATACACATACAATATGAATTATTTCATCTAATAATTGTTTTCTTATAATTGAAAGTCCAAATTTTGAAATGATTTTACAAATGAAAGAAGAAATATGTAATATTATATTGTAACAATTACATCAAAATATAATATTACTTACTATTACAAATATAACAAAAACATAATTAAAATAGTTTCTAAAAATAACCGTTACTACTGTAATTGAATGTTATAATATTTATAACAAAGTTAAAGTTGTAAACAAAAAGTAAAAAGTAAATAAAACTTAGTATTGAGCAAAAAATCAGGTTGGACGGGAAAATGTAGGGTATTGCATTAATGTAATAGCCTACATTATATGTATATATATATATATATATATTTAGGATTGGGTTCAAGTGAGAATGGTGCTCAATGAAAAAAATAAGAATAAATCGTAATCATTGGATCGGATGATCTAATGGCTAAAAAAAAGTCAAAAAATTATACATTCATTAAAGGTATTTTGGTCATTACAATTACACATCACCATGCCACATCATCCCCACACACACCTAACACATACAAAACACACGCAGACACACACCTAACACACGCACACACTCTGCACACACGCCCACCAGACACACATTGTACACAAATTAATGACACACACTGTACACAAAACGTTAACACACACACACACACGTATATACACACGCACACGGTGTGTTTCAGCCGCCACCGGTCGGTTTCCGCCGCTGTCACCAGTCGGCATCCTCGCCGAAAACACTAAAACAGCCTGTGAGCACATCCACCATCGACGCCTGCAACCGCCCACCGGTCTGAGAGCTCCTCCACCGTCGACCGCCTCCTGCCGTCAACGTACTTGAATGGGCCGCCGCATCTCCACCAGACACAGCCGTACTGCCGGACGCGAACGAGCTCCAACCAGTTGCCATTATCTGCCTCCACCACGAAGCTCCGATCGTTGCAGTCGTCGCCGACACACTCCGGAAATAGGTCACGGCCGTCGGGCACCCGCCGTCAGACATCCCAAAGCTCGCACAGGTCGCGGCGGCGAAAGCTCCAAGAGGAATGGAAATGTCGCTGCACCCATGGACGCCGGAAGTCGGTGACCGGAGAGGGCTGTGCGACGGTGGGTGAGGTGGTGGAGGATGAAGGTGAATTTGGAGAGGTGGTGATAAAATCTGAAAATGGGTTGTAGGATTGGGCATATTTTTGAGAATTAGATTATGTGTAGGGTTCTATTTGCAATTTTAACAATTGTAAGTATATTTCAATTTAACCCATACGTCAAATTTTAATTATTGAAAGTTAATGAAAAATTAATTTTTGTATCTTTTGTTATGCATATATATTAAATAGTAAATAAATTGTTAAATAACAATAATGTAAAATATTAAAATAACATAAAATTATTTTATAATAAT